TATGAAGCTTCTATAATTACCTCCACATTATAGAGTAAAAATTGAATTCACGTTGTATATGTAAATTATTTAAATAACAATAGTATTGATTCATTAAGAGCTGGCTTATAATGTTGAGTATAAAACAGAATAAGGATAATCTAATTATTGTGGAATTGATTATTTTAATGATTAAATCAAGGATATTTAATTTGAAATTGATCATAAAGGATTAACAACAAACTTATACTTATCAAGTACTTTGGATTCTAATCCATGGGATGTATATTTTTTATATAAAAAAGGAATCTTGGGGTTTTAGGAATTTCAGACTTTACATTTATTAATGCCCATCTGGATGTTTAATTTGTTCTTAAGATGATTATTAATCAGATTGTTTAGTATGGGTGCTTTTTGACTCCTTCTATACAGAAATTGATCCTAACCTATTTGAAGTAGAAGGGTGGAATATTGACAATTAATAAGTAGCAAAAAAAAAAAAATGCAAATGTAAAAAATTTTATAAAGCTTTTAGCTGTGCCAATCATTTGTGGAGAAAGTCTTTGTGGTAAAGACACCATAATTTCCAAGAATTTTTATTCATTACCAATTCATACAAAAATGAAAATAAAATTTAAGTACTTAAAAGTTGATAGTTGGGAAATCAATGATTAAATAATATTAAAAGTTGATGGAGAAATAAAATGGATTGCTTCGCTATCATTAATTAATCAATATTAATATAGTCTTTGTGGAAATTATTACCCAGAAGTATCTATAAATGTAGAAGTTACTTTTATGCATTCATCAACATTTGCATTAGTTCAAATTTTGAATACTTTAGATTAAGATTCAACTGATGAGTCTTTTGGAATAAGAGATATTCAAATATACATAGGTATATAAAATTATTCATTTAGAATAAATATTATGTGGAGATTAAATAATTCAATTTTCAGAAGATTGTGATGATGGAAATTTGTTTCCATTTGATGGTTGTTTCAATTGTAAATACTCATGTGTTGAAGGATGTTCTTTATGTCATAAAGGGATATGTCTAAATTGTTTTTATGGATGGGTTTTTTAGAATAATCTATTCATATGCTTAAGAATTATTAATTTAGATTAATAGTAATAATAAATCAGTTTATAAACTAATGGAAATGAATTAGATTATAAAACTGTTATTGAGTGTCGCAAAGGTTTCTATTTAAATTGGATTTCATATCAATGTGAATCAATTTGTGGTGATAATTTCATCACTAATACTGAGGAATGTGATATTGAATCAGAATTTTGTCATGAATGTAAGTTTCAATGTAGTAGTAATTGTTAATAATGTTAATTTGGTATCTGCTAAGTATGCAATAAAGATTATTTACTACAGAATAATCATTGTGTTTAGACTGAAATCAATAACAGATGTTAACCATAATACAATATTTGCATTGAAAATATATGCTATCAATGTTAAACTGGATAAATGTTGATATTAGGTTAATGTTAAGAAATTTGTGGTAATAATAATTATGCTATTTATACACTTGAAGAATGTGTTTGTGATCTTAATTGTTTAGAATGCATTAGAGGTGTTTGCTATGAATGTAGTAACAATTACATGTTAATAAACAATAATTGTTATGAAATTCCTGTTACTTGTGGAGATCTTATTATTTAAGAAAATGAAGAATGTGATGATGGCAATAATATTGAATTTGATGGCTGTTTCAATTGTCAATATTCTTGTCCTATTGGTTGTAAAGATTGCAAATTAGGAATTTGTTAAGATACTTGTTAATATGGATTTTATTTAATAAATAATATTTGCTCTCCTATTTGTGGAGATTCTATTTAAGCTGATCATGAATAATGTGATGATGGCAACAATAATGAATTTGATGGATGCTACTAATGTTAATATTCATGTCCTCAACATTGTTCTGATTGTTTAAAAGGAATTTGTGTTGCATGCAATTTAGGATTTCTTCTCATTAATAATAATTGTATCAATAATTGTGGAGATGGTATTCTAAACTTAGAAGAACAATGTGATGATGGGAATTAAGATGATAGAGATGGATGCTCTCAATTATGTGAAATAGAATTTGATTGGATTTGCAAATAAGGAACTGATTGCACATATATTAAGTACCCTATTTTCAAAACAGAATATTTAATGCAAAAAAATTAATATTAATATGTTAAAATCAGTTTTTCTCAACCTGTTTAATCATAATCTCAAGTAATTTATAAAGACACTTTTGATTTAGAAATTTTAGATTTAAATAAAACCATTTTTAATATAACTATTAAGGATATAAAACCTGTTTAATTCTTAATTGTATCAGATGTATAATACATTCTGTAAATTGAAATTCAAACAAATTTAAATTATTAACCAATTTTAAAAGTCAATTTAACAGAATAATTATACAGTATTGATGATGCTCCATTAAAAAATACGATAGACTATATACAATTAAATTATCCGAATTACATGACTGAGGAATAAGGTAAATTTGCTAGTGCTTTTTAAATAATTAGTAAAGCTTCAATCTTTTCTATTTATGGATCTTCGATTATACTTATTATTTTAGGTAATTCACTAACTTTTTGGGGTATCTTAGATGCCCTTCAATAATAATCATATCTAAAATTTATTAATGTCTAATATCCATAGACCTTAATCATTTATTTTGAATCGAGTGAATTGATATCAATATAATCTTTATTAAATAGTATAACTCGATTAAATAGAATGGCTAAAGTCCTAGAATTTCCTTATTTAGAATCATATGAAAAGTTTCAATTTTATGAAATTAATGCTAATATTACCGAAGGTCTAAGAACTGAAATTATTCTTTTTGGTACTTTTTCATTTGTTTACTTGATTATATTAATTACCATAAAGATCATAAATAATCTTGAAGTAAATGATAAATTTTTAAGATTTCCTAAATTCATTCGTTTTTTGCAAAAACAGAAGAGAAAAATTTATTTTAAAGTTATAAGAACGAATGGTTCTTTAGTTAAAAATGCCTTATTAGCATGTAGTTGGGATCTAATTTTCATGGCTTTCTTGGAAATAAGCATTTATCATGATTTAGCATTTTATAAAACTTTTGTTCGGCTGTCTATAGCTTTAATAATAATAATTACAACTTTAATTTTTATTTTATCTCAGATAACTGGAATATTGAATTGGAAAAAATAAAGTTTTCATTAATTTTGGAGGAAAAAAAAAGACTTTTTCATAATAATAAAGAAAGTACTTATTCTCTTGATTCTGGTATTTTATTAACATGAACAAGAATTGTAAACTTTGATTCTAACCCTAATTAACTTATTATATTTAATCTATGTAATAAATTTTAAACCATTAGATGACTAATAAGAACACCTCAAAACTTTAATTATGGAAACATCCTTAACTCTTTTTACGGCATCAACATTTTTAAATTGGAATTTATTATCTCATTACATTTAATATACTTAGAGGGTCATTATTAGTTGGATTCAAATATCTTTATTAGTAAGCGTTTTGATATCTTTTATGTTTTTCGAACTTTATAATGCATTATTAATTATCAAATAAAAGTTCATAAAATTAATAGCTAATAGAAATGTTCCAAAAAGGTAGGAAGAGGATTAATCTTAAAAATAAAATAATTAACAAAAAACAGAAAGGAATTTATAATTAAAAAGAATCCCAATAGCTAGAGTTACTTTTTCTTGTCAAATCCATCAGACAGTTTGAATTTTTAATTATTTAATTTAAATAAGAAGTAATTGTTGATATTAAAATTATTATTACAACAAATACAATAACATTTTTTATAAAAATTTTATTTTAAAATTGTTGATTGAAATAATTTCTATAAAAGTTATAAAATATTTTTGCTCATTAATTTGATTTTAAGTTGGATCTATTTCAATCTTTTATTAATAGTCAATTTGGAGGGATTTTAGATTATTAATTGATTTATTGAATACTCTATTCTTGTTAATTAATATTTAAAACTCTTATAATATATGAATGAAATTAAGTTTTTCATATCCTAGAAAATACAAAATACTTTTACGATCATTTGCTTAACAATACTCGGAAATAAAAATACCTAATTAAATCAGTATTTGAAGCTTATCTGATAAAATACTCTTTTATTCCGTTGTTTTTTAAACTATTTTACTTAAATATCCCTTAGTCACTTTATATCTACTTATCCTAATACTTCCATATAATCAGAATTTTAATATTTATTGTGAGTTTCTAATGTGCCCTCATAATTGATCTCATCAAGAAAAAAATCAAATTTGAAACACTGTTGGTTAAATTATAAAATTAAGCTTTATAAATCCTTCGAATAATATTTAATACATCGCTGCAACTAATTTATAAATAGATGGTAGATGAATTAATTTTTTAAATATTTAGAAATGACTATAATACTATAAAATAAAAAAAATGTGCTTCAACCTTTGATTAATTTAATAGACTAGATCTCTTTAATAAGAAACGTTCTAGAATTTTTAGATAAGAATTAGTTCAAATCAATATGTTATCATCACGAGAATTCTCTCTGTTTGAATGTAAAGTCTTTATTTTAATTTATCAAACTTTAAACCTTGCTAATTTTTAATTATACCACTTGAAAATGCACTTCCCTAAGTACTTTTAACTATTATTTATTTAAATTAATTTCATTTCTAAACTTAGTTTGTTTTTAACGAAAACTCATCATATTTTAAACTTCAATATAATAAATAAGATTCATTAAAATAATTGACATTTTAATTTTTAAGATTTATTCCACTCACACATAATAGTAGATTTTTTGGATTTTTATTAAAAATATATTGTTTTATTTAGCAATTCTTAAGCTATAGTTTTACTTGATGGTTCTAATGTAAACTTAAATAAAATCCTTAGAATTTATTGAAATATCGTTTAGAAATCAAAGAATCTTTTGCATAATTCTAACCATAGTAAAAATCTTCTTCAAAAAATTTTTATTATATTTGTTTCACATATTAAACAAACCTTTTGATGAAATTGTTATAATCAAATTATGAATTTAAAAGAATCTCTTTATTTTGTTAATAATTGAAATATCAGATATATATTTTAAAAAGAAACGAATTCCATGTTTCGCTTAATTATATTCTACTTTAAAAAGTAATGATATTAAACTTGTTGTTTTATAGTGAATAAAAAAAAATACATAAAAGAGTGTTGCTTTTCTATGGAATACTTGAAAGTTTAAGATTAATAAATTATACATTGTCAGTATTCTTCGAGTTGGCACATATGAGTATTTTTAGGAAAATAAATTTGCATTTTATAAGTTAAAAATCATTTGCCTTCATGGTTTCACAGGTTTAAAAAACAACTAAAACTAGAAATCATCTCTTGTTTTGTTTGTAAGAATGCTAAATATGATTCTTATTCTGAATAATGATAGGTAGGTGTTTTATTGCTTTTGAATCTTTTATAGATTTCTATTAACTCCTGGATACGTGTAAATAATTTATTATCACTCAAAATTAAAATTTTATTTTAACTTGTAGTTTATTGAAAAATATCTTAGCTTCCTCAAAATTTTCACCTATTTTTGGATAAATATTGTCTTGTAGTTCGTTTTTTTATCAAATGAAACTAATCTTAATTATTACTGCAGTAATGCCTAATTTTATATAGATAATTTTAAAATTCTTTGCTTAATTACTTACCTTGATTATTTTGATAAATAATTAAAAACAAAAATGTACTCTACTTTGTTAAGAACCATTACCTCCTTTCAACTATTGTCAAAAGAAATTACGAAATTTTTGAGATAAGAGTCTGATATTATAGCTTTTATTACTTGTTATAGTTTATTTAAAAAAGAAATTAATAGTTTATTAAATTTTAATCTTTAAATAAAATTAATTAAGTGAAAAAGATAAATAATTATTGTGGAGATGAATCTGTTAGAATAGTTTTTACTTTTGGACATCAATGTATAATGAGAAAGGCAATTGTGTAATAGATTGTATTGTATTCATAATATATTAATAATTTATATTGTTAAAGAGATCATTCATAAGAGATAATGAAGAGAGTTAAGAAAATATTGAAAGAAATTTTTCTAAAATACTTATATTTAAGAAATAGTTAAAGGATTTAAATGTAGATGGAAAAATGAAAGATTTTAAGAATGAAATTTACTATATAAATTTACTCTACATCAAGTATGTTGAAACTCAATGTATTCGTAATATAAAATGTTATTGTTAAATTTGTATTTTATTATAAAATTACCTAGAAAATTAGAATGTAAACAGACAGATTTGTAAGCTACATTAGTATTGAGAGAGAATGAATTAAAAATTTATCATAAACTTATCCAATCATATTTATGATGCAAAAAAAAAAATTTCTTAATGAATTACTCTAACTCACTCTTAATTTAGCATAATTATAAATATAATAAAATGAAAAATATTCATAAATAATTAATTATATGATATTAATATATTTTTATTGTATTCTCTTAAGAAGTGTAATATATTTATTTGTAATGTATTTCTCAATGATTTTGGAATGTAATAATAAATTGAAAAATAATTAAGTTCATATAATCAAAAATTATAATTCTAATCAGTGATATATATAATTATTTAACAAATAATATCATAAAAGGAATAAAACGATTTTAAACTTATGGTTGTGGTTTCATATCTTATGTGAGTGCTGTTACTACAAGTTTTTGTAGACAAACTTATAACACTTTTACAAAAAATTTTATTTTTATCTTACAATGATAAAAAAAGGAAAATAACATTATCACAAAAAAAACACTAAAATGTTTAGATATTGTACGAAAGCTGAGAGACCCTATTATCTTTCTGACCATACAAGTTACTGTTTAAAAATAAAAAATATTGTTAAGGCAAGGAAATAAATTATGTAGCAAAAGAATAATCTATTCATTTTTCCAAAAATTAGGATCCTTTAGATTTTAATAATGGTTGAAAATCATAAAATTAATAATTAGCAAACTCTCCTTTAAAAATGAAAGCACCTTATGCTTATAGAATTAAGTATTTGGAGATTAAAAGTTAAGGATAAGTAACTAGTTAAAATATAAATTATTACCACACTTTGAAAGCGGTCTGTTTTAAAATTTATCTAATACTTATTGATATTATTGATTAGTAGTTTTAATTTTTTTTCCATTCATAATACGCCAACAACGAATAGAATTATTAAAATTACCAAATGCTATAATTGTTTCAATCAGATGAGAAGAAGAAGCTTGATAGGAGAGAATAGTAATGACCATCTAATTAAGCTATTTATTAACCTGTATTAATATTCCATAAAAGGATAGAGTTATTACCACTACCAGATGCTAAAGTATTTCTATCTGGTAGACATAACTGGAGTGATCATCCTTTTTGACCTTAAATCGTGACTTGACATTCCATAAACGGATAGAGTTATCATCACTTGATGCTAAAGTAGTTCCATCTTGTGAGAAGCATATCAGACTATACAGTACTAGGATTACCAACAAACTTTGCTTTTTATTTACCTTACTTAACATTCCATAAATAGATAGACATATCATTACCACCAGATGATAATGTAGTTCCATCTCGTGAGAAACTTAATGAGTTGACAGCTCGACTGTGGCTATCCAATTTTGCTTTTTATTATCCTGTCATATCACTCCATTAGAATATCTAAAATAAAATTGATTCAATTTACTCTTTTTTCATCAAATAAAAATTAGAATTATGATTTTAACAATGTGACGAACCACTGTATCCAATTTGTTATTCCTATAATAGCAATAGGAATTTGAAATTAAAAAATAAAATATTTAGGCATTTTATAAATAATAATAATTTAAACATCGATGAGAAAAATTATATAAGTTGAGATCTGGAATAACTAATTGGTATTCAATAGAGTTAGGCTAAAATCAAATAAATCAATCATAAGTTATTTACATTTAAGCAATTAAGGGATTTAGTTCTTCTATACTTTTAGTGATTCAAGATATACAAAAGTTTATATGATTTAAAAATTTTTAATTTTATCTCAACACTAATCTAATGCTAATTTTCACAATTATTTGTCTTTAAGTTAAGTTTAATACTTAAGATATTTATTATTCATATTAATATATAAAATTATAATAATTATTGGGTTACTCTTAGAAATTATAATGTTTTTTCAAGGATCTTATCGAGAATTAAATTCGAATAGCCGAATGGAGGACTATTGTTTTAGTTTTTAACAAAATAAATAATTTCTTGATTATTAAAAGTTGCTGGGAAGGAAATCATATAGTGAAATTTTACTGAGAAATTACTTTAAAAAATGTCTTACCAGGTAATCAATTTTGGAAACTCAATAAATAAATCTAAATCTTATTTTAAGCTCTAAGAGGTATAATTTTTAATTTTTATTTAGGGATTGAATATCTTTTTTAATCATTTAAATAATACATGTTAGTAATTCTAGTTGGATTAGTTTCTTTAAAAAAATCCGATAAATTTGATAATAATATTATCTTTAAATTGATAAAGACTTTTATAAATTAAAAAATAAAATATTATATATATATGTTAATCAGAATAATAACTATAAGAAGCTGTTATTAATTAAAAATTGTAGAAATACAAATCGCAAATTTTGGTTTAATCTTCCAAAATTTATAAAGCCAAATGATTTTATTAAATAGACAAATTATGAGACGCTTCTTTTTTAAAAAAGATCTTACAACATAATACTATAAAATAAAATAATTTGGATAAGATGGGATAAAAAAATTCATAAGAAATATTATATAAATAGAATTAATTTAAGAATAAGAAAATCATTTTTAAACATTAGTTTTATAAATGGTCCTTTAGAAAATGATACTGCTTTATAGAACGGATTATAAAAAATATAATCAATTTTTAATATGTTGATTTTTATAAAATTTTGCATAACTTATGAGAAAAATAAATCCAATAATAATCTAATTATAAACATAAGAAACTAGATTGCAAGTTTTAAAATATTCTTTTTTTTCTAAGTTGTAAAAATTTTGTTATTATTCAAATAAGTAGTCTATACTTATATGTCATAATATGAAGTTAATTTTAGTAATAACTAGAAGGCTGTATGCGTAACAGAATTCAAAAATTGAAGTAAATATGATGGATTCTTATATTAAATTATATTATTTAAATATTTAAGTTTCTGGATAAATCAAAAATATTAGAACAATATAGAATAATAGATTATTATAAAATATTTGATTGAATTAAATTTGTAAAAGAACTGTATATAGTTCAGAGAGAAATTTAAACATTTTAAATTTAAGTATGAACATTTTAGATATATAAATGATATAAATATATTGACATTTATAAGTTAGAAAGCTTTAGAGTCTTATTTTATAGAATTAATGAATCTATACTATAATAGAGTGAAATAGAAAGAGTTTCAAAAAAGCATAATTTAGTAAATCTAACTGTGCAATAAATTACAATAAATTAAACTTAGAAAGCTAAAAAGAAAAAACCTATTCAAGAATGTATTTAATTTAAAATACCAATTAGATTTATTATTTTAAAATCACTATGATATATAGTAATAATGAGAATAATTGTATTTTATTTATAATGCCAATATATATAAAACTGGGTTTCTATATTTCAAATCACAAATTATGATTAATAGGTTAAAGAGTTAAGAGAATCAATAAATATTTTCAACAAGAAAATTATTTTATTGTAACAACTTGAAATTTATTGTCTTACTAAAAATAAATCCAAATGAAATACTTCAAAAGATTGGCTTAGTTTAGCTGAAAAAAGATAAACTTGATTATTTAAAAAAAGTTAGTAGACGCCTGCTTAGTAATATGGTATTACTGGATCATTATTGGAGGCGAATAGAAGAAATAGCAGTGACAATAGGTGATTGTTCATGATACCTAATATATTGATAGATTAAAAGAAATTGAAAGCCAATCATCTAAAATTAGAAATCAAGGAGAAGATTATATTGTAGAATGATGATGGAGAATAATGGTTAGACTGAAGTTTGGTATCTTATTATCTATCATAATAAGGATATTCTCCAGTGTTCCTTAAATATTTAGATAAATCTTCAGGTTAAATTGCAACTTACATATTATCTAATTATAAGATTTCTGTAAATAATATTAATTTTGAGCAATTAATGTAATCAATTTAGGAAGTATTTTATTGAGAAAAACAAATGATGAATAAATTAATCATATACTTTATTACTATTACTAAAACTATTGAGCTTAAAATTAAATAACTAGTCCAAATAAGCATTATAACTATTATATATTGTACTTTTAGTTATTTTTATTCTATTTTTCACTTATTTCTTTTTCTCTTAAATCTTTATTTTAACAAGTATCATTATTTTGGATTATTCAAAGTAATAATTTATAAAAAAATTAAAAGTGGTTATAATTATTTTTTCTATAAAATTATTTGATACATTATAAGAATTTTCTATGACATTCCCACCAGTTTTTAGTTCATTTCCCAAATCTTTTATCTTAGTAATTAGCTCAGAGTATTTTAAAGATGTTAGAATCCAAATGATTAACATTTCTCTCCCAAATCTATCTATCCATTTTATTTAGTGTTGAATAAGCTATTTATTTTAATTAATTTCTTTAAGTTCTAACCTTATTTTCTATCACTATGATTGAAACTTGTATTAAATGGGTAAGAATATTTATACAATAGTTGATAATTATTAAGTTTTATAAAATTAAAAATGTTGGCTCTAACCCTTAAAATTTATACTTTTTAACTAGATTTTTTAAGAATTCAAGTCAGAATGAAAAAACATATCCCAAAAATGAAGAGTTTTGTAATACTCATTGAACAGTTTGATTTTTGAATGGTGATTTCTATTTTTTTATAGAAGATATAATTTACTGTCTTTAATAATGAATATATGAGGAAGTTAAAATTAGAATTTGTATAGAGGTAAACAATTAATTGATTATTTTATTTTAAAAAGCATTCTGTTAGTGCTTAGCTTCAAATATTTAATAGCCTAAAAATATAGAACCTTTGTTATTTCTTAATACCTCTCTATCATTTTAAGTGAAAAATCTGGTTTTCTAATTATAGATTTAATGAGATTTAAATTTAGAATATTACAATAAATTTGATTAGACTCAATTGAAGTGTTATATCACATATTTTTGTGTTGTCATTTTATTATTTCTCAAGCTCATATATGCATTTATCTTTTTTCGAAATATTTCATTAATTGGAGTTATGAATAATTCAATTATTGGTTTAAAAAGATTATTTTCCATATAGTAATTTATGAATTTAAAATTAATATCTGTTTTTTAAAAACTTAATTTTTTCAGCATTCATACAGATAAAATCTAATTCTTAATTTCCTTTTATTATTTAAGTTCTCATTTGAATGAACTATTATTTAAAATTTATACATTCACCTACATTTCCTAAATAATACTTTTTTATGACTAGTTCTCTGCTTGAAAATTGTATTATTTCTAGTTGTATTTTTGTAAGTCTTCAAAATTAATTTATAATTTTATATCATTTTTCCATTATTCTTTCTCTCTTAGAGTATTATTTTAATCTAATTTGTAAAGATAAATTTATTTGATTTGATTATCACTTTTCTTTAATGGCTTTCTAACTTAGAAATTTATTAAAAAATTCTTTTCTTTCTTTATAATAAATGTTCTAATTATTTTCTGAGCGCTGCCTATCATTTTTAAGTTTTCAGTATACAAATCTCATTAAATAATTTAATTTATATCAAGTTTATTGTCTTACTCAAATAAGGTACTATAAATATAATCTCATATTACCTATCTAATTCTTTGCATACTATTCTATTGATCAAAATCTTATTGTATAAGTAGATTTATATTCTAATTTAACTTTGAGAATCGCTTGATATTTCTAAAAGAAATGGATAGAGGTCTTAAATTATAAGAATTCTCTAATATTCTGTTTCCACTATTATAACCACATTTTGTAAATAATTAATTAAGCGATAGTTTCACAAGCAAACTTATTGAATGATATAATTGTCAAAAATACTCAGCATAACTATCTAACATAAATTAGTAAGTTTTATAAAAATAAACTTATAATTTTCATGAACTATCTTTTCACCTATCATATTAATCTGATTGAACTTAAATATTTAATTTAGATATTCTCCAATGTTTTCTTTACAACAGATAATCATTAATTATTCTAAAGTCTTAATTTTTTATATTTGAGTTGATTGCTTTTCACCAGTATATTTAAAACCATTCACATTTATTAAGATAGACTTTTGGTGATTATATATTTTAATCCCCACAGCAAATATTAAAAAAGTGATGTTAATTATGTAAAACATTCGAAAAATAGGATACGCCATGTGAGTTTATACAAGAGGGCAACTAAAAAAGATTAGAAGGATGTTGAAATAAAATCTCAATAAAAAAGATATAGTTACCTTATGATTTTTATAGAATATGTTTTTCCTTTATAAACAATTTAATTTAAATAGTTTTGTGAAGTATTAGAATCGAATTCAATATCTAGTTTAAGATTAATATATCTTCTATAATTTAATATCTTAAATCATCAAAAAGCTTCTAGGTAATAATTAATAAAGAATTCGATCAATTGATTTGCAAACAGAAGTGCAAATACAATATATAGGTTGATATAGATAATTAATTTACTTTAATTGGCATGATAAAATTGTACCTATTTTTACATAAACTTTGGCATTTCCTATGAGAATTAGAAATTCATTAATATAATATATAATTTAATTCATGATGTCTAGTTAGTCAGAAAATGTAATATGAAAGATTTTACATTTTTTCAATCTAATTTGAACTGTACATTATTATCATCATATGGAAATAACTCTTCAAAAGCATTCTGATCGTAATTTTAAAAGATAATTAAATTTATTAATTAAATTAATTCCTTTTTCTACCCCATAAATTCTATAAAAATCTTGATTCTATCATTCCAAAATTTCCTACTGAAAAATATATTAAATTTCCTTCAGTTATAAATATTTTTGCTTGTAAATAAGCTTATAATATTACTTTATTTTTAATTTATTTTTACAATCTAAATATAAACTCAATTTCAATCTTAATTTATTACATCTCCTTATATAAGCTATCCTTTCCATGTAGCTTTTTGAACCATATTCTTCTATCCATTTTAGATGTTTAATTAATTCTAAGTTCTTCAAAACTTATGGTCTTTAGAAGTATGAAATATATTTAATATATTTAATTATCAAAATTGCCAATACCTCAGTATTCTTCAGAAATATAATAATTATTGTTCTTTTTTCATAACATTCAGTATTTGAACTCTTTAATCTGACTGATTTACTCAACATTTTGATATCTGGAATATCTCCAGATTTTAAATTAGCTCCTCTATAAGCTTCATATAAGATCCTTGTCCAATTATATCATTAACAAAAAAACATATTTATAAATTCTTTTCTCTATCATCACCAACATATGGCAAGATATGGGATCCTGGTAAACGGGCAGCTTAAACTAAATATTTTAAGACTTCTCTCACTCTTGGAAATCTCAATAAAATAATACTATTTCTATAAATTCTAGGACTATTTGAATACCTTTTGTATTTGATATGAAAAATTAATCAAGAGTCAAAGTCTTTCTGTATTAATTTATTTTACAAGTCTTGTATGTATTGTTTTTAATTTATAATTACACCACCAGAAATTATTATTTTCACCATTGCTGTAGTCATCTTGAAAAGCACATTAGCAATCCTCAGATAAAATTCAATTTTACTGTACTGTGTTAAATATTGATTGGTCCACCTATTTTAATATTGTTAATAGTACTCACATCAATCTTGTGAAACAAAAAAATAAATGAATACCCGTATTTCTTTTGCAAGAGTTGCTATTAGATTATAAATATAGATTTTTCTCATTCAGAGGTAGAGTAAGATTTTATATTATTTAATTTAAATAATCAAAAGCATAATTGATAAATTTTTTATCAGAATCTTTAGATTAAGTTTTAGCAGGTGCTCCAATATACTCTTTATTGCTTCAAAGCACTTTTATTTTTGGAGCTCCTTCTTATTATTATTTTTAGTTTTCAACAGCAACTATACCAACTTGGTATTCAAATGCATCTGCAAATCAAAAACATAGTATGATTTGAATTATTTATGATCACGATAAAAAATTCCTATAGCTTCAAACTCTCCTTTAAAACAATGCCTTCATGATGTCACTCCATGATCAATTATCAATCGTATTATAATATTTAAATTGTATTATAAAAATAATTTTATGAAGTCAAAATATATATTTATACCATCTTCTCTGCCTATTAACCATAATTGATATTTTTTCCTACAGTCATTCACCATATCTTTCTATTCTACCACTCATTGATGATCCATTTCTACCAGTATGACCTGTAACACTTTTTAGTACTGATCTCTTACATGATTTCTGGCTGCATATCCTAAACCTTTGCTTCAAATCAATACTCAATACATATACAGGCTTTTAATTCTATAAGAATGATATACATTCTGATATTCATATAGGATAAATTAAACCATTAACAACTTTAAGTCTTCATTTGTTTACAAAGGAATTTCTCCTTGTTTATAAATAGCATTTCCAATCTATTCTATTTCTTCTTTTATTTATTTAGCAGCTATCTTGAAATCCTCTAAATAATCATAATTATCTTCTCTCTCTCTTTCTTATTATTTTTTTGTTTGAATCTTCAGATAAAGCAGCCTCAAAGTATAATTTTATACACTAAATATTACTTCAATATATTTCCTTACTGTTTTATCTAAATCACTAATTCCTCATTCCCAAGAACAGTTTCTAACTTATTGAAATCAATTTCAGAAAACAAAGCAGATAATCTTTAATGATCAAATTCTTCTGATCTCACTTATAATACACTACATCTAATTTATTAAGAGTAAATCCTAAGTAAATATACTATAATACCTAAATACTTTCATCATTTATAAACTATTTAAAACATGAAATTACATAACTTATATATAATTTTATTTAAAAATTTATTGTTCTTCCTTTGAATCTTCTCTATAATAAGTATTAATTTATATAAACTTATTAAACTATCTTAACTAATTCATTTCCATAATTTCCTAAATGTATTCTTGCTAAAATAATACAAGTATTCTAAATAGTGTCTTTTTCCTTCTTTAGTTTTTATACCTACAATTACTTAAAATACGTACAATCTCATCTAATTGATATAAATAGTAATATTTACTTTTAATTCTATTTAAAAAAATTTTATATAACAAATTGCAAATTTGAATAAATAGATTTCTCCTTCGCAAAACGATATTATCTCATAATTTTGAAAAGCATTGCGAATTTAAATTGAGCTAAATATATTTTCAAGAACCATTTCGCTAGTATAGTTTAGTTTCTAATTTAATTGCTTTAAGATTATTATATAGAGTAGGTAGAATTCTCTATAGATTCTCTTCAAAAATCTTTATTCTCTATTCAATTTATCTAGTAAAAAATTTAATCTATAGGAATATACTGTATCATTTTAAAATACACTAAGGAAATGATATAAATATAATAGATTGACTAAAGCTTAGAAACAATCATACTCTTGTATTTGTTTAATAAGAACAACTGCAATATCAACTAAATCTGGTTTGTATCGAAAATATTTTCTATAATTACTGAAGGCATGCAATATATTTGAGAATTCTTTGCTTTAATTTCAGTAATATCTTAAATGCTTGTAGTTTTTCTTACAAAAATACTATAGAGTACTTCTCTCATTTTAATATTATTACCAATAATTGGCCATAGAGTTGTCTTGTATATTACTACTGTTATTAATTTCAGTTAAATTGTTATAATGTTAATTTTATATTTGCTATCTATTTGAATAGGATTAAATGAGATAGTTTTTTTAAGGAGAAAGACATAGACTTTCTTATAATTTAAAGGTATATTTGTTCTATAATCCCAAAGAGGATGCCAAATATTATTCTTAATCATAATTTCATTTTCATGCAAAATCATGTACATCAAATATTTATCTAGTTCAAATTTTCATTTTTATAAATCATCTTCCCTTCAATACCACAGTGAAATATTTTAATTACTTGAAGCAGAAATCTAGGCTCTATCACCATTATTTTAGTATTATCTCTCCTATCTGAATATTAACATTTTTATGTTTACTTGATAGCATCTGAACTATACTCTATCGTCTAAATATGTAAATTGAAATACTCTATATTATCATGATAGAATTAATATTATTATCAAATCTTCATCGACTATAGATAACAATATAAGATAGTTACTATGTATTAGATAATCAGAATCAAATAATCAAAATATACTCCAGTTTCACTGCCAGCATTTTCCATTATTATGTCAGCACAAGATCTAAGTGCCATAAATGATAATATTTCTTCCACATTATTTTTTATATTCTTTTTTGGTTCATCTTTTAATGACTTTGATTAAATATAATGAAAGTGTCTGTATTGGTGTCAATTTTGTGTATAATTTTATGAGATCTTCTGTATATCTTGTATATCTGATAATGAGATGTAATATTATTTAAGAATACATAAATTTAATATTATAAATATTTTAGTAGGTCACTTCCGATCGTATTTCAAAAATACTTTCTCAGCTAGACCCATTATTGTTAATATCTAAATATCATCACGAATTTAACAAGCTTGTAATATGTAGTCTATTGCTAGTATTATTATAAAATACTTGTACATCTGGCATATCCAAATATATCTTATATATCAATTTAGAACTAGTAGATTAAAGCATAATTTTCTGCTACTATTTAACATAATTATATTTACATTTGGTAAGAGATTGATTGTAGTAAAGCGTAGTTAATGGGATGATTTTTAATAAACTTAATAACAATACCATTTGATATATCAATGATTATAGACTTGTGTTATTTCAATAATCATTAAACTATTCTTTACAGAAATGGATAAACTCGAAACAATATATTATTTAAAGGATAGTTCTTTTAGGAACTACTAGTGGTTATTACAGGTATTCTCATTAGCATTGATTATTATTAAATATAGATTATTTTGAATAATTATCCTATTAGCAAGGTATTTATATTGTTAAGATATTTAATTAATGTTAATAGTTAATAATTCACTCAGTAGTTATAACAGTACTTTTAAGGCGATTATCCTTTGTTGAATATAATAACTATATTATATTATATTTGACTAACTCATTATGATAATAAGATAATACATAATTAACAAAAGAATTTCTTTGTGAGATATACAAAAGATTAATAATTATGAAAAAGATACTATTAGGAATATTTTGTTTATTCAAAAATAGAATATATTTGTTTTCTCCACTGGAATCAAATTTGAGTATGGCACAATGTTAGATTTTATATAAAAATGATGAATCTGTAGAATCAAATTGTCTGAATTTGTTCCTTCATTATCATATATCTAAGGTTAATAAATATTTCATTAGGCAAGTTAATATCAATATCTGTAGTTAATATCCATGGAAGAATATAAACCCACATAATATATTTTTAATAGTCTGCTATCAAAAGGATTATATTATTACAAGCAGGATCTTTTAACTAGTAAAAATATAAGGAAAGTAAACACGGATCTTGGTAAAATAAACTGCTCACAAACAACAATTGAACTATATTTAAAAGAAGAATCAAAGAGTCTCAAAAAAAAATGCAACTAAAAATTTAGTCAAAAATTTAAATTTAATTAATTTGTTCCTAATATATAGGAAATCTAATTTGTTCGCCCTAATAATCACAAGAGATAAAACAAACTGAAAATCACTAGAGCATATTTTTGTGAAAAAATTCATTCTGTATATTCGAAATGTTTTTGAGAATCAGTTTCATGTAAAAAATATTACTTGATAACATTAGCAAAATATATTAGAAAAAAATCTACAATCAAAAAATGGTAATTTTTTTGGGTTGGGTTTGGGTTTGGTAAAGCCTACATGTAATTATAAAAATAATTATATTCCAAGTACGGTTGGGGCTCTCCCAAGTGGTTCCCCAAACTTCCCCAAGCTTTTTTAAAAAGTAAAGGCAACTTTTTTGCCACTTTTTTCCTTATGTTTTTATTGAAAAATAAAAGCAATGGCCAGGGTCTAAAAGCACCTAGGTATTTTCCTTAACGTTTTTGAGTGAAATTAACAATTTTTAACCAATGTTCGTAACTTTTTCATAAGGAAAATTTTAGAAATTAATGTATATGACTTTATGTTGAAAGAATTTTAATTTAAAATTTGATTTTAATTAAGATTCAGAAAAACAATTTTGAAAACTTGAACAGGAATCTTGGCTTGTTAGATTTATATATAATGTTCTTTATATTTTATTTATATTTAATTTCATTATTTGTGATACATAATATTTAACTAATCATAATAAATCCCTTTAAGACATAAAATTGAATCCTCTATTCCATATTGTAAAACTAAATATATAAAAACCATTTTATGTAATTAAATTTATATTATAATTATGGTATCACAGTCAATTTTTTAATCTCTATAATTTCTAAATACCAAATATTAATATTTTCCATTCAAGGACTAATCAATTTATTCATTTCTACATCTACTATAGTCTATGGATACCTGATAGTTTATATGGAACTAATCAATGAAATAAATTGCCTATTTATATTTGTTTATTACTTTTGATGTCCTCTTTAAGCCTTTGATAATGATTTTAAATGATAACGTATTTTTGTATAATTATTTTTCAGAAGTTATTTTCTTGAATTTAATTTTTTGAGTTAATTGTTCAAATATTTAGTAAGAAAAAAATTTGGCATTAAAAATCTAGAAATTTTGTATATTAATCCTACAAAAGGTATTTTATATTTCTTAAAATAAACTGTAAAAATTTGAATGATAAATGGGTAACATAATCTTATACAAAGTAACACAATACAAATTTATAAAAGTATTGATAAATTTGAGTTATTTTCTTATTCACTTACATAATTAGCTCCAGCAATGAATATAGTTATTGAGCAAATTTATCCTGTTTGAATATCTAAAAAGTTTAAACTTGAAATTATATATGGTTTCTGTTTTACTGCTGCTAATTAATAAACTAGTAAACACAATCCTAAAAGGGAGGCTTTTAAAAAAATATCGCTTTCAAAATATGTCAAGATTATAATGATAATAGTTTTTTTTGATAATTTAATTGATTCCCAATAATAATTTTCACTGTTATATTCATTAAATAAATAGCAAATATGTCTTCTGAGTTTTATTTTATCCAATTATTATCTATTAATGTATAATATAAAAAATAAAGAGAAAGGGATAAAAAGACCAAAAATTCCTAAACCTGGAATAGCAAAATAAATAATCCATGAAATATGATTAATAGTTCCATATAGAAGAGATACATCTCCTTGTATATATGAAATTTATGAAATCAATCTATTAGAAATTATGGAACTAAACCTAAATAATAATATATTTTATTACTATTTAATTAAAGCAGCATAATTTGATACATATAAATATAACAAGATATTAGAAGTGATACTTTTATTCAATTTCTATTTCCTACATTTAGCATAAATAGCAAATCCAATCCAAATTATTAAAAGTTGAATTATTATCAATATCATCATAAATATTAATCTTAAATAGATTAATTCTACATTTTAGATTTAAGATAAATAACAATCCAAATTATAAGCCATAAAATATGATGTATTACTTGTTTATTCAATAAAATTAAATGAAATAGAATAAGTGATATTAAAATTAAAAACCACTGAAAAAATCCACAAATAGTTAAGTAACATTTTAATAAGAATACTTTCATGATCTATAATATTAATAATCAATTACTTTAATTTAATTTAAATATTATTTTACTATACTTTTATCCAATTTTAAGAGATGAAAACAACTTATTTGATATTTCAATACTTCTTAAAGTGATTAAAATTGAAAATAATGCCCTAAATATTAATTAATTTAATAAAATACCAAATTGAAGTAAATATAAATGTTATCATACTTTTCCAAATTTGATTACATTCTAAACATTTAAAATCTCCTAAATTCTTATAAAATTACCCATCCCCTCTTAAATTAAAATGATCACACTCTTCACATAATCCTCCTAAATGACCTATATTACATAAATTAATTCCAACATCCCATCCACCAATACAAAATGAAGGATTCTTAAAACAACTTTCTGTATAATCTGAAAGGTGATTTGGTCTCCAAAATCCTGGTAACAATTTAATTTAATTTGATGATATATTTTCAAATTTTTATTTGTCAAATATTGAACATTTTGTAGAGTTATAAGTTACAGTATAAAATCCTTAATTTGATTAGCAAATCTAACAACCTCTATCTATATAGAATTCTCCTAACTAACATTTAAGAGTTTTAGCATATATTAGATGCTATAACTTTTAACCATTCAATTAAAAATCACAATTTAATTCTATTTATAATATTTATAAATCTGAATTATAAGGATCTAAACTAAAAGAGAGAGAACTTAAATCAAAACCTTATTAATTTTGATCTAATTCTAAATTGTATATTCTATCTTCTAATGTACTTTTATTATTTTTATACAAAATGGTTGTATTCACATAACAAGATAAATTATTTAAACCTTCCAATTTTTCATTATATCGATTTTTAAATTATATTAACATACTTTCGATATAATTTAGAAATATTTATTTTTTTGGAACATATATTTTATAATTACTAATCTTTTAATTACTTGGAATTATTAATTAT